TATATATATATATATATATATGTGTGTGTGTGTGTGTGTATGTATGTATATATATGAGGAGGGATCTGTTTACTCTAAGAGTAAGTCTACCTAAACTTATTTCATTCAATAACTCAAGTTTTACATCAAATTTCAACAATTCAACCGTTTAATTTAAAGTTTTTAATGCATAGATCAAGTTTTAAAAAATTTAAAAATCATTTGATACTTCATTTCATTAATTCAAATTGACGGATAATCATAAAATCATTTTATACATTGATTTGAATTAATGAAACGAAGTATCAAATGACTTTCAAATTTTTTTAAAAAATTACAGATTTGATTTATGTATTAAAAGTTTAAATTCAACGATTAGATTATTGAAATTTAATATAAAATATGAGTTAATGAATAGAGTAAGTCGAGATAGACTTACTTCTAAAGTAAACAGATCTCTTATATATATATATATATAGAGAGAGAGAGAAAGAGAGATAAAAATTGATGAAATAAAAAGCTGATTAGAGATGTATGATATATACAAACATTAAGGTTAATCAAGTAGTAAGATTGAAACAGTATACACCAGGCTTCAAGTTTAAACTTTATTACCATTATTGTAATTTCTACATATAATTTAAGGCTTAAATCTACTTTTGATTTTTATATATAGTTTTACGAACTTGAAATTTCATCTTTCATGTTTTTTTATTGCAAATTTAGTTTTTTAATTTTTAAAATTAACCTATTATTGCAATTGATTTCAAAAATATTGTTTACCATTACCTATAGAGTTCGGTTACATTTTGTCATTCCTAAGAATGAGTATGAGTGACTACACACTAAATTATAAAAGCACATGAAATAAAAAAAAATTGTGAAAATAACCCTAAGAATCCAGAACACTTGCTTAAACAAAACATAAGAATAATTAATAACAACTATTAGATTAAGATTATAATTAATAAATCTTGATTAAAACCGTACTATAAACACCTTTTATGAGACATCCAATATGGTTAACACTATTATCATAACTTTTATTGTTATTACAACTTTTATTATTATGGTTATAATCACTATCTCTATTATTATTGTAACCATTTGATAATGATAAAAATGATAATAATGATAATTTTAATTATTATCATTATCATTAATGATATTAATATTATCATCACTATGTCATCATTGTCTTCATTATGATTACTTTCATGTAATGACAGCAAGCTAACAATATTATGACCACCATTATCACCATCCCAAACTATAACTCCTATTATCATGTCCACAGATGACAATGATTATCATGTCCACAGATGACAATGATGATAAGAACATTAAAAGAAAAAGAAAAAGAAAATCCCGTCAGAGGTATCTATGATAGGATTTTAGTCATTACAGTTTATTAATTTTAATTTTAATCTAATAGTTGTCATGTAGCAGCCACCTCTACATACCGTTTCTGTTCAATCCTCACATACACATAGTTGAACCAAATAACGTCCCTAAACCTGCAAACTATTAATTAGTTGTCAATTTTGTTGGCTGGACTTATTATGATCGAAACAGTATTTAGTTACTGAAAGGGACTCTTTGGTTGACCAAAATAAGTGCTGTTATTTTACAACAAATGAAATGGATCTTTAGAAATTCCTTTGATTGTATTTCATATTTTTTTAAAGTGAATGATTAATTCATTGGCGGAATAAATACCATGTATTAACTAGTTATAATATAAGTTTATTGGGCATTTCAAAAGAAATCTATATCATAATACAATATATCATTTTGACCGCGATTTTGAAGCACTTTTTCTTTCTTGGAAAAGGAAAACATGAAAACTACATCCTATATGAAATCTAAGGCCAATCAATTCATTATGAAAATGATTAACCAGACGGCGGGGTGAAACAAACGTCCCAACTCCCAACCATCGTTGTTTTTTTTTTTTTTTTTCCTTTCGTGATAATGGAGACAATGACCGTTGTTCTGTAGCGTCAGCAACTTCCTTACCTGCCCTAATCCTTCTCCATTGAGATAGTAATTGTTGATGTATGATTTCTTCCTCTGAGCGAAGTAAGTCTTGCCCCTCATCGCTGTCTGGCACGTAATCCAATCCTCTACGAGACATTTCTAATATAAAATAAAAACAAATATTATTGTAATATTATTATTTGATTTTGTCAATTATTTTATATTTATCATGTATTTCAATTTAAATAAATAAAATAAATTTGATGTATGGTTTTTATTTACAATTATTAAATAGTACATTCAGTATATATATATTTATCATATTTATACTATTTAATAATTTAGTTAAACACGCTACGTACATTTATTTTAATTAATTGAAATCAGTTAACTTATAATATGTTAAAAATAATATAATTTCAGTAGGTTGAGGATTTTTCGTGCGTTGTGTTTAATAATTTTAATTTTTCACTTAAATGTGTTTATTATAAAATATTTAAAATACTGGTTAAATATATTATTTATATTAACTTACAATATAACTTAGATATATGAAAACATAGATTTTTTATATTAAAATGTTAAAACTTAATTTTTAAATTTTTTATGTTACATAGTATTTATTAAGTACCAAATTTATTACAATATGGGTTATAATAAATATAGTATTGTATTTTACTAAATACTTCATATACATGACATTTGATTAGAACATTAATTTAAGGATAAACTGAAATATTCAATTGTTATATTAGACTTACGTGTAAAAATTAGTAGTAAATACATGAAATTTATTTCTAACCTGCAAACGAACAATACAAATATATTGACAAAATATATATGAAGTATGAATAATTTATATTATTGTCATATAAATATGATATATAAAAACATAAATTAATAGGAAAATAACACTTACAGGAAGGACGTCTAGCGGAGAACAAAGAATTTACACAAAGCAAATGATCAACACTTGGGCCGAGAATGAGAGGCATGATGTATAAATAGAGAAACTGGAAATTAGAAAAAACACTGGGTCCACGCGGCATTATGGGAATGGTTGGTCAAAGGCTGGTCATAACTGATGTGATGCGCCATGTCCCTGATCACAAGTCAGACGGTGGTGAGTAGTCACCTCATGCAGCAATAAGAACACAACGCGCGAAGTAGCATAAGGGGTAGGTAGCATCTGATACACAACACACTACAGAAGTAAAAGTAACACAATCCTAATACAGAACACCCCGTGTTCTTAAGTAAAATAAATTACTTTAATAAATATCAAATTTCATTTATTGTACAATAGATATATTTTTTGAACATGGACAGCAACCCGAGGACATGAGACCTAAGTTGCAGCATTTTGCTTGTGAATATAATTAACTTACCATGTATACAATAGGAGACATGATACATCCTCCCAATTTTGTTCCGAATCATCCTCCGAAAGTTAAAATATTAATATTTTTAATAAATTTATTATAAAATCATTATTTAATTTAATATTTAATAGTTTAAAATATATATTTTTTAAATTCGGAATGTATTTCGGACTATGGATTCGGAGGATCAAGAATTTTCT